AAAATAATTTGTTTTTTTTTAATTAAATAGTTTGTGGTTTTAATGTAGTTTTATGGAGTACCCTTTATGTACTTCTAAAAACCCATTAAGAAAACTTTTTCTCAGGGCTATATGCTCAATAAAATTCTACTTTAAATCCAAAATCATAATTTTTACGTTTTAAAGATTACGTTAAAAATATTTTAAAGGTTTTTTAATTTAGTCAATTTGCTTAAATGAAATGCCTATTTGATTTTTGACCACTTTATTTAATCTAATTTTATCATCTCAATAAGCTAATTTAGTGACTTAATACGTAAAAGAAAATTAGAACACATATTAGCTTAGATTTTCGTTCGCGCGACAGACAACTTTAAATCAATAAGGCGATGATTTTAAACATATTAAGCAATTCAATTTTAAAATGAACTCTCCAAAAATGAATTTAAATTTACAGGGACTGTGTGCAATTTATTTCTTCATTCGAATTTCCTCTCGAAAAACACCCAACAACACAACAAATCGTGCCACGGTTTTATCTTATATTTTTTAAAATTTTTCGGTTTTATTCTCAAAAATACTCGTTTGTAACATGTATGTATACGCGTTTGACAGCTGCTTATTGTATTTTGTATTATTGCTGTATTGCATTTTTATTGGTTATCGGTTAAAAATCTGTATCGTAATACAAAATTTGTTTTATAATGGATCTTATTTATCTAATATAGTACATGTTTCCTGTTACCTGGTAGGAAATGTCTAATAAACGAATGAAAGTATGGGAGTAGAAAAAAAGAAATATTTTATTGTTAACCGGTGCATTCGCCATTTTTGCAATTTGTATAATATAATATATATAATATAATACATATTCTGTCAATAATTATATCTTAAAAAATGAAGTATTTTATAGAGTGGTGGGGTACCTACAGTGTTGCCGGATATAATCTTAGCGATTACCAGAAAATAACTATGAAACTACCAGATATTAGAGATTTTGGGAAAAACTTTCTTGAGGCGTCAAACAAAAAGATAATATTTTAAATATTTATTAAGAAACAATAATACATGAAAAGCTACAGTGTAAAACGCAATTTTTGAATAAAATCATTATTTTTATGAAATGAGAAATCTTTGCTACAAACTTGATAACAAAATTGGAGTAGGTAATTAAAATTTTAAGTTACCTTCTGGTAATTACTTGACGTCTGACATCACTGGGGGTATTAATCTTTTCTGAAACTAGATCCAAAATAAAATTTAGAAAAGAGTGTAAATTAATAATATCGATGACTTTCTGCCAAAGTATCGCAAGCAACATAACTGAAGTTTCGGGAATTGAAAACATTTTTGTTTTAAAGTCTGTTTTAAATTAAATATAGCCTAAAGGTTTTATAACAAGTAAATAGCTTATAATTATAGCTATTTACTTGTTATGAAACCTATAGGTTATATATGGTTTAAAACAGACTTTAAATAAAAAATGTTTTCAATTCCCGAGATTTAAGTTATGTTGCTTGCGATACTTTGGCAGAAAGTCATCGATATAGTGCTCGATAAAGTAAATATAAAATTTATTTCATTTACCTCAACTGACATTAAAAAATTGATATATTATTATTTAGTAGTGATAACAAAAAAAATATATACGAGCCCCATATCATTTGGCCCAGACAACATTTTTTTTTACATTATTTCAGAGAATAATGGTAAACCCAAAATAAAAATCTATTGAATCCAACTGTTATTAGGTATATATAATATTGTCTGAAATAATGTAAACAATAAAATATTGTCTGGACCATGGTCATTTGCAAATGATATGATTCTGGGCTCGTATTGTATATTGTAATTAAAATTGTAATATTCAATGCAAATTTTTATAATGCATAGTTTAATGAATGTAGCAACAAATACTAAAAATGTTGTGTTATTTTTTCCTTTAATAACCTATTTACAAACTTACGTAAATTAAATTATCGGCCTTATCACGTGACTATCACGTTACTAGCATTTTATAAATTTTACAAGAGAGGTTAATTCGCGAAAAATAAAAATGAGCGTTATTTATATCAACGTAGGTAATATTCAAAGTGTTAGTCTGCTGTGCTGTCTGTACTAATAGATAAAGATAGACCACTTCCTAAGGTAATAGAAAAATCTATTTTTTTTTCAATTTTGTGGGTTAGGCCACTCTGTAGTAAGGACGACGAAATGAGCGAATTTTTGACAAAAATATTCTCAAATTCTCAAATGTTTTAAAATACATTAAATGTGAAACACGTCGCATCTCTACAACCATGTGATCCTCAGCCGCTTTATTTGATGTTTACATACACAGTAAAAAATTATTTGTTAATTTTAACCAAATATTAACCAGGTCCAAATAATTTTATGTTAAGTTTACAACCAAATGTTACCTGATTAAATAAGTAGTTTCAAACTACTAGTTTGTAATTATAACAAACATTTTTAGATTTAATAACAAAATCCAATGTATCATATCCTATATATCAATAATTGAATATAATTTTTCTTGTAATTTTCAAAAAGGACCTTATTTTTACAAACTTTTTGTAGACCCAGTAACAAAGAATTTGTTAAAAATTGGGAACAAATGAAAGGAATTTTAATAATTTTTCTAAACAAAAAAATTAACACATACATAGCTACATAAATGAACACAAAAATAACATACACACAATTAAATAACACTCCATTCTGAAATCATTAAATTATAAAAAAAAATTGGTACAATATAATTATCAATACTGATGTATTTTGTTACTTTAACCCACTTCACTGTATATACAGGGGATATCCCCTTATTTCAGTTTAAAAATTAAATGCAGACGCTGAAGTCAGTTTAACTTGTTGATGCGTATTGTCAGTGGGAAATGTTTTGATTGACTGCCTGAAATCACGTGTACTTTTTTAAAGAAATAATTTGTTAAACATTAACAAAATAATCTGTAACCTTTGAAATTAACAGAATGCTTACAAAATTTCATAGTACCTTTACAAAACTTTCGGTAAAATATTTTCCTTTGTTAAAATAATAACAAACCCTGGTTTTCTACAAAAAATTATGTTTAAATTTTACAAAATAAAATTAACAAACTACAAACTTATGTTAACAAATCTGATTTTATAACAGTGTATATAAGAACCGTTTTTATATGTCAAAACTTAATTATAGGACGAACAAAAATGCCAACCAAAACTGATAGCATATTTTGATTATAGACCCTTTTGGTAACACTAACATGTATTTATCAAAATCCCAGCTGATCCTATTTTAAAGTTTTGCAAACTTTTTTGTTTTTCTATTTCTATATATTATTTTGCAATTATTGTACTAAAACTACCTGTACAATTTTAATAAAATTAAGCAAAATAATAAACTTTGTATCATTTAAATTAATTTACTCCCCAGTATTAATTTATTGAGTCACCTATTATTTTTTACCACTCAAAACAAAACATAACAAAAAAAACCGAAGATTTATATCTTAAATATTTTTATAACAAAAAATACTGGAAGTTTGTCTATGAAATAATTACAACTTGCAAATTTTGTAAAACAATAATTAAGGTGGTTATGTAAAAAATTGCTATACGTTATAACGCAAGTGACATTTTGCTTTAGTTGTTTATTTAATGTATACTTTATAAAGTTAAAAATAGTGTTTTAAAATGAAAATTAAACCGAAATTCAATTTAAGCCATGAAGAAAATCAAAAGAAGGTATGTGCTGGACAAAATTGTTTTTGGTAATCGAAAAATTCAGATTTTAGGGTTTCTGAGAAAATATAAAAATTACTGCAGACTTTTTCAAACGAACACTTTAACTTAAGTGATTCAAAATTACCTACTTCAATATGGTAAAAACGGTATTTTTGCACAGCCACAATTGCCAAATTTTCAAAATTTAGAAATTGCTAGAGAATTTCGCGGCAGCCAAGAATGTATGTGCTTTATCTGCAAAATGGCAAGATATAAAGGGCATAAACAATTATTAAGGGAAGAGGACGGACGAACGAACTAAAGTTTTGATATGCTCTTCCTTTCTAGGGGATATCGCTAGATGTAAGAAGCATGTTTGTACAGAGACTGAAGAATTTAAAAATACTGTTTCCATGTTAAAAACAATTCCATGTAAAACCCAAGAAACAGTTTTACTGAAAATTTAAGGCAAGCAGTAATCGATTTTGCTTTAAAGAATCTTTAGTTATTTATTAGTTTTGTATTAGGTACCTTAAAACAATAAATAAGATATTGCAAACTGTATTTTACATTTATTTGTATTTATAATGTAATTTATCCATATTTCAGTCATGTATCTGCCAAATTTTTAAAAACATTTGATAATGGTACTAGAGTATTTTATCGAAATGACATAAACAATTTTAAAATACTAAGAAATATGCAAAACTTTAATAAAGGTTCAGCTGGGATTTGACAAATACATTTTTGTGTTACCAAAAAGAGTCTATAATCAGATTATGCTATCAGTTTTGGTTGGCATTTTTGTTAGTCCTATACTTTAGTTTTGACCACCGTGTGCTTATTCTGTCACGTGGTGAGCCATTTTTGGGACACCCTGCATAAATTTTCTTTTTACTTCCTTAATAAAATGAAAAAACAACTCATCCTGCAAAATAACCTCAAGGAATAGCATTTGACCAAGAAAGCTATATATAAACGAACATTCAGTTGGACCTTAATAAAGATGAAGGTAACAAGAAATAAATTATGCGGTACGATCGTCTATGCCGCGGGACGGAACGAAAGAGAGAGTGTCTTACGGTACTGAAGATAACCGCGTGCCCCACACAGACCGCCGTTACCGTGCTCTTAGCTAGTAGTGCTGCTATTTCAGCCAGTAGTATAGTTGCTGCCCTACTTTGTACCTGGATATGCTACGCTCATAGCTGTATTTGTAGTACAACTTTTACCGTTAATGCACGCGGTCGCCGTCGCCGTAGCTCGAGTCAGCCTGCCCACCTTGGCGCTCGCCTGTTCGCCTGCTAACTGTTTGTTATTAACTTAGTCAATCTAGCACTCGTGTGCAACGACAAGTGCGGTTTAGGGACTTTTTACGCCGTCAAGTTGTCACGCGCCAGCAAAATGTAAGCTCCGCAACCCGACGTACTTTTTTTGGATAACCAGAAACCTCAACCCGGAATATTTACCCTTTTCTTCATTTACTTGAATTAAATGGGCCAAAATGTCTTCATTAGGTAAGCCACTAAGTACTTTTTAAACACCTCACACAAAACCACCCGGTCGAACAGAACCAAAATATACAAAAACTTTAACTAAACGTCACAAAAAACAGATTAACCATTAAAAATAATCTCCACACTTTTATTTATCAAACGATTTCCTTAAAAACCCTAATTATTAAAAATGTCGACATAAATAAATGTTTATAGACCATCCTGTTGCAAGAAATTCTTCAAGCATTACATAATCAAACACAAAATTGCATTTTGTTGTAAATAATAAATTTAATGCGTATCAACGCAATAGGATTTCTTTAAGACGCAAAAGGTCGTTCAAAATTTTATTTCCACAAGTTCTTCTTAAAAATTATCGGCATTAAAATTACTAGGACTCACATTAATATACTTTATTTTGTTATCAAATTAAACACCCTATCTATTCAGTTATTATGACTTTTCTAGAATATTAAAATTTATTATTATTTGGTTATTTTACGAAAAAAATATGACGCACTATTTTTGTTTTATTCATTGCCAATGTCAAAAGTTAAATAAATAAACAATTAACATTGAACAAAATCTTAATTCCGTATTCTTGACACATGTGTCTGCTTAATATTAATTAATTATTAATGTAGGTATAGGCAATTTCCTGAAAACCATAAATCGTTTATTTAAATAATTTGCATAGGATAAAATAATAATTTTTTTACATTGTATATACTGCCACACTATAGAGAAGGATATTTTAGATATACATAAAAACATGACAAGAGTTAAAACTCAGCAAACTTCATTTAAAATATTTTAGATAGGAAACATGACAAGAGTTAAAAACTCAACAAACTCCATTTAGACCTTATAATCTGTGATATAGACTATTAGTATTTACCAAAATTTTAAACCAGATTAATTGTTTTTTCCTAAAAGTATATACATACCTACATATATTTCATAGTTAATTCAATATTTAATTTTTTTTTTGACAGAAATGGGGTTTGAAGTGTCCTATACACAGTGCTTATTTATACTTTTTGTTTACGTATTGTTAAAACTAATTTTTTTTCTATCCTTTTATATAAATAATTTGTTTAAAAACATAAAAACAAAAAAGATAAAAGTCAATTTTTAAATCTTTATAACTTAAAAAGTAATCGTCAAAAAAATGCTTTTTTATACTTGCAATAACCCTGCAGCGTGGCATACCGTTAGGCGCCCTGTATACATTTGTAAAGATTATAAGGAAGGAACTTAGATTAGTTATTATAAAAAAATATTGATAAGGCTTTGGAATTGTGTCAATGTTTGTATCAAAATAGCGTGAATTAAATTTCTGTTAATTAGATAATTTAATTTATACAACCATACACAATGATATTATGTGAGTATAATATAAGTTCTGTGAGTGTGGTACATATGAAATAAGCTTTCTACTTAATTTTTTAGACGTAATAATTGAGAAGATTTTAATTATTTACCTAATTAATGAGATAACGTAGTAATTACTAAATTTAAAAATACCAGCTAATTATATCCACCCACCTACACAAAATTCAATAAAAGATTGGTTTATCACAGTTTTAAACATATAACTTTACCCCTTATATTTAATGTAAATGAAATTAGAAGTAAATAATTTGTAGGTAGTACATGCATCTTTATTTAAAGTATCGATTTTTTGTACGTTGGCCGATTTGTAAGGACAATAACCTTTGAAAAGTAGGACTGAGTGGTTGAGGGCTTTCACCCCCACAGATGTGACTATTTGATATAGCGTTCATACAATAAAATAATGTTTTTCAGGTTGACTAATAAACGTTTAATTAATTATTACTGTTTTAACGTGATGCTTACACATGTTTTTATGCGTATTACTAGGCAGTAAATTAAAAATAAGTAACAAGAACACTTTTTCCTTTCTACGTACCCGGAAGTAGTCTTACTTCCGCGTCTATACAAGACTTTAATTAATTAAATAACCTTTCGACTGACATTAACTACGAGATTTTTTAATTTTACTTAAGTTGTATAAAACAAGCTAATTCATTTGTATTGAGAAATTTTTTTATTTAAGCTTTTTTGGAAAAGAAAAATACACCAAATATTGTTTAACTTTAGTTTTTGAAGATAGGTACATATCTTAATAAATTAATTTATTAAAGCTTAGTGCTTTCCCCAACAAAAAGCTTTTTACTGAATATTAAACAATCATAAAATTAGTTTATTACCATGCCTGCGCATCGGTAAAAATATCAACAATACTGAATAAAACTGACCATGCAATATTTGTTTAATCCCAATTTAGTTTTAACAGTAAAGGTTCACAGCATAATAACAAAATTGTTTTTAAATACATTCTAAAATTAAAAAGTAACAGAAGGTATTGAATTGGAAATTTCAGCCGTTTGCTTTCACTTTTATATTTCGTAATGAACTTTAGTTTTGGCAAAATCAAGGTTATTCATGTTCATTGACTTATTTCCAAATCGTATTTATTAGTTATGTCATATTGCTATTGTTGCTACATAGAAATAATAATGGTAATAACAATAATGATGATCACAACGACATAAAATTGTTAATAATTAACAATTATTCTTTTAGAATCAAGATGGTGTGTTTACGTTTATTTTTTGTAAAATTTTATTTTATATTGTAATAATTTATAAGCGTTTCACTTTCTATTTGGACGTGAATCATCAATCAAGTTTTTTTTTGACCAAAATAAAATGTTTTATAAGTAGGTAGGTACTTTCACAAAAATGTGTCAGTCATTTGGAATAAAAATGTTGGGCATATTTTATAAAAATACATACAATTATACCTATAATGTAGTGTCAAATTTAAAATTTTCAGAAAAAACTAAAAATAAAAAGAAATACTGGTTTACATTGAAATTACTTAATGTACAGAGTGATTTAAACTCGACGCCTGCTTTATTTTGTAAAAACTGAAAAAGATATTCAAAAACTTGTTGGAGAATTAGCAATGATTTATCTCAAATCTTCTTTACCACCAAAAAAATATTTGTAATTTATATTTTTGCCAGGAATTTTCATTTTTGTTATCATATTTAAAAATGAGCCATAAACACTTCCCTATAGTATACTATGTTTCCTTCAAAAGTTATAGGGCAAAATATGTTACATAAAATAAGCTATAAAATCATGCTAGCCAGGTGTAAATCAAACTAATCACAACGAAAACGAAACAGGATTTTTCAGGTGGTAAGCAATGATTTAAAAAAAAAACGCAAAAACACAGTTTCTTTTTCTTTCACTCTAAAAAAGAATTAGTCAAAATGACTATTTGTTATAGCAAAAAAGCAGCCACTAATAATTCTCGTCAACAGCAATTTGTATCCCGGACATTTCTTATTCAATTTCTATGTAAAATTGTCCTCCGAATCCGAAAATGTCTTCAAAAGTTAGAGAACAGTTTTTGAGATAAGGTAAATTTTTCATATAATTTAAAGTTGACAATATCTCAAAAACTGATCCACTTTCATAATTTTTGACGGTCTTTTCAGATTAAGGGGAGAATTTTACATAAGAATTGGCTGTTTAATGACCGGGATGCAAATTGCTGTGGACTACAGTTAGTGACTGCTATTTTACTTTAAAAACTGGTAATTTTTTAATAATTAATTTTTAAATAGATCTTTTACCCTTTTTTTTTAATAGCGGAAATCGTAGCAGATTTATTCTATGAACAACATCAGGAAAGGTATGTGGATTGGACGATAAGCGGGACGATGTGGAGTCATTTAAAAAGTAAACTTTACTCTCTTAAAATGAATCAGTCAAAAATAACTAATTATAAGTCATATTTGACTAATTGTCATAGCGATAAAGCAGTCACTAATAATTAGTCAAATTCCACTGAATGAAATAGTCAAATTAGTAGATTTAAATTTAAAAAAGTTTTGATCCAGCCGGGGATTGAACTCAGGTCTGTCACTTGTCAAGCTGTTATCATAACCAATGTGGCTATCAGTCACTCTTATAAAAATCAATTTTATTTGTTAATAAATATTGTTCATAATATTTTAAAGTTGAATATATTATTTGTGTTGCTGTTTTGAGCTAAACTTTTTGCATCTTTGTTTGTTTTTATAGGCCATTTAAGCATGGAGCCTATATGCATTTAATTTAAATAATAATTTGTTGTTGGCCGCAAACGATTAAAGAAATTAGTTACTATGTACATATTAACTCTCAGAAACAGTTGGTGACTAATCTTAAATTAGTCAAACTTTAACTATTAACGTAGTAAAAAATAACTATTTATAAATGAAAACGACTATTTTATTAGTAAAAAATGCTGGTACTAATTCAAATAGTAGAATTTTGACTATTTCATTTTTAGAGAGTACGCAATAAGAGTTCCGACAAATGAATGCCCAAATACTTTAAAATATTATAAGAAGTTTTAAACAAAATTTTTATTTTTGTATGAAGTTTGGTGGCAGGTATTTTGAGCACTTAATAGATTAATAAACTTTGTTCTATTATTCTTATCTGTACTTTCAAATTTGAAAAAGAAACGAAGTGTGTGCTGTTGCAACTTGCAATATTTCAACAACAAATAAATAGAATTTGAAATTTTTTCTTCATAATACTTAATATTAAATTATGATTTAAAGTAAATGTTGTCACCCTCCAAACTAAAGTTTACGCGTTTTTTAAAAATCAATGCTTGCTACCCGAAAACTCCTCTGTATCGTTTTCGATGCGCCACCCTGTATAAAAAATACATAGATAAAAAAACAGAAATTGATTTATTGAATAATATTTTCAGTATCTAGTAATATCACAATAGAGTAAAAATAAGGATTTTCGAAAAACTGTTGTAAGAAAAAAGACAAAGACAAAGTAAACATCTCGAGAATAATTTTAAATTTATCGATCTCTCTTGTTGGATTATTTTTTGACGTACAAAAATGCCCCAGCAATGCATTAATGTCAAAAAAATACTTTAAATTATTCTCCCGGTAATAATGTTAGCAGATTATTTCCACTAAAAAAATGTTTTGATTGGCTAAAACGTACACACATGATTAAAATTAAAAGTTTTTATTGGTTTTTAAAAACGTAAAAAAGAATCCATGGAATATGTGATTTACACCTGGCTATCATAATTTTATCGTTCATTCTTTTAAATATATTTTGCACCATAACTTTTAAACCAAACATAAAATGACAACGAATTATGAAAAAAAATGTATAGGGAATATTATATTCAGTCAAACAAAACCATAATCTCAAATGTGCCCCAATTCAATATTTTGAATAAACCCGTACGTAAAATAGGGAAATAAGGAGACTTTTCGATTTTCGCCATCGTATATTGTGTACCAAGGAAGCAAAGTTTATCTTTTAATTCCGAGGGTGAAGTTTAATTTCAGATCGTAATCAGAAAAGCAATCATTGAAGGGATTAAAAGATAATTTACTCACGTGATAAAAACGCATTATTTGTATTTAATAATTAATAATATATTTTTTTTTTCGACTATTATATCTTAATTTTAAGGTTTAAAACCCTATGAATAGGAAAAAAATAGATTTTCTTTAAAAATAATACTTTTATAAATTTAAAAAATTTAATTTATTTCAGGAATTATGACCCTTACGCGTGCGCCGTGTGAGCTCGACAAAATGAGCCTTTTTCAAGATCTGAAACTGAAACGAAGAAAAGTAGATTCTCGATGTAGCAGTGACGGTAAGGCAGTTTAATTTATTCACTATTTGTATAGCTTATAGTACACGAGTTGCGTTATTTTTGGAGCATGAATATGGGTATATTAAAAAAATATAATGATGAGTGTTTGTTCTCTCAATGATCCGTTGATTATCCCGATGCATTCCACAGAAAAATAACAGAGCTTAAGTATATATTAGAGTAGGCAGCCATCAGCAAAATTTGCTTTTAGGCAATGTCTCTGTCCGCTTCTAGGCGAATCGGTCGCCGATACTAGCACGTCGTCGCCAGATCTCGTCAGTCCACCGTCGCCTAAAATGACAGATGCTGTATGCAACCCGCCGAGTCCTGATTCAACGCCCATACAGCTGCACCTGTCAGAGCCCACACTGGACAAAATCTCGCGCCGCCTGGAGGATTCAGGAGTATTTGACGGAGGAGGCACAGCCAGCGTCATCAGAACACTGCCAGTGTTTCGATCTCAGAGTCCCCCTACCAGGCCAGCACCTGCCGCCAGCCCGTTGCAGCCGCCCAGACCGCATAGCTCGCCAGGACGACCGGCCAACACTAGCCCCGTCATCAAACACAACCCCCTTCTTATTCACTCAACGCCCACCCAACTACCACCCATCATCAGACACATACAACCGACTACAGTTACCTGTCAAGAACCGACCTCATCCTCGCCCCTTTCATCCAAACCCCGCGGAGTCATCATCAGCCAGCAGCAAGCGGCCCAGGCTCAGGTCCAGGGGCAGGCCTCCCTCTCGCCCAACCAGCTTTGGCTGAACCATTCGCGAATAAACGGCGTCAAACCAGAACTGATAGGAGGAGTAAACACGATACCGCACTATCCGGACATCAAGTCGCCGGGTATTCCCATGTCCCCGAGGCCCACCGCCAACGTTCCAGCCAGACAAACACCAACCGTGATAATGGGTGAAGCTGGAGGAGTGAGGACCATGATTTGGTCGCAACCGTCCATGTGCACGACGCCAACGTCGCCGTTGGCGATGGAACAGCCGCAGCTCCATCCGACCACGTCGAACTGGTCGCCCACGCACGTCAACGTGACCAACCCCGAGGAAAGTGCAGCTCAAATGTTACTGAACCTTGGCCAGGACCGACTCAGACTGCCGGTCAGTCGGTCGATGGCGACCCCCCAATCTCCCGCGCCCGGCCATTTCAGCAACGCGCCTTTGAACATGGAGCGGCTCTGGGCCGGAGATCTGAGGCAGCTGCCCGTCAACCAACAGAACCAAGCCTTGAACCTGACCTCCGCGAGCCCGGGCCCGCCCAACATCTACAGCCCCAACGATCTAAAAATGGTCGGATTGAACGAGACGGTCGCCCTCGAGCAACACGATCCCGCCGAGGAAGAGGAACAACCGATGATCTGCATGATTTGCGAGGACAAAGCCACCGGCCTGCATTACGGCATCATCACCTGCGAGGGGTGCAAGGGCTTTTTCAAGCGGACTGTTCAAAATCGCAGAGTGTACACGTGTGTGGCGGATGGAAACTGTGAGATTACCAAGGCCCAAAGGAATAGATGTCAGTACTGCAGGTTCAAGAAATGCATCGAGCAAGGAATGGTTCTACAAGGTGAGACATATCATATCTATTACTTTATTTATGCATATCATAATAGTCGTAAACTAAGTTAGGAATTTAGTATAGCATATGTACGTACGGTTGAATGCTTTAAGCCATAAATATCACCATAATTCTTATTAGGTATCTGTAAACAATTTAATTTACTTAACATAAATAATAACAAAAAACATTGTAATTTTAAGCTCGCTTTTTTTCTTAAAATTGGTAACAATCGTTGGAGATATAAACTTAATACTTAAGAAAGTATTAAGTAAGTATCCTTCGAAGAGGACATCTAAATCTAGGTATCAATAGTTATCGATAAGTCGTAAAATCTGCAACTATCGATCCATGAATTTCATGGCATGAAAAGCGTTTTTGACTAAGCTTCGATAAATAAACTCATTTAAAATTGTAACATTAAATTTCCCGCTTTAGAGTGTGGGTGGGGGAAATTCAATATCAATAGTTTTTCTTACCGATTTTTCCCATCACCAGTTGCTATAGGGCCTTTCCATCTCAAATCGACCAGGCAAAAAGGGGTCACAGGGGTCCTGAATAGAGATTTAAAGGTTCGGAAAAAAACAGGAAAAATTGGAAAAAAACAGTGTTTTTTTCCGTTTTTTTCCCGAGCCTTGGAAAAATTGAAAAACGGAAAAATTGAAAAAATATTTAAAAAAAAACGAACATCTAAAAAGTATTTTGATTTGATATAATTTATGTATTAATGAGTGGAAATTAAATAAATATATTTTTGCAGTAGTACAGAAGTCTGTGCTTTGAGCAAAAAGCATACCATTGTGTATTGTGGGTACAATAAAAAAAGTATATTTAATACAAGATAAATGTTTTTATGCTTACCGTAAAAGCCGTATTACAGCCGGCAATTCTTCTTGCAGCAATTTTTCTTGCCATCTAGTTTTCAAGGCCGTCTTGCATGTTGTTTTACAGCCGGCAATGGCAAGAAAACTTGCTGTTTATTACCGTGCTACCAACCGAAGAAAAATATACGATTTTGTAAACACTAAGTTTATTTGTTATATAGTAGAGATATTTAAAAATTAATGAGTGAAATGGATTCTAGAACATTGAACACAATGCCAATCATAAAACAAATAACCTTAAACTGTTTAAGTCAAACAGCGTCTCTCTAGGGAATTTGTAGTAGGGTTGGTAACATAAAAGTTACCAGATTTCACCCCAGAATTGCCATAAAACGGCAATAAAAATCCATCCGGACCGATTTTCGGCAATTGCAAGAGATTCGTCGAAAGGTCTCAACCGCGCATGCCTATGGCAAGTTTCATTGCAATTGCCGAAAGAATTGCCGGCTGTAATACGGCCTTAACGCTGTAAACGAACGACGATCGGTCCGACGTGTCGGTTCCTAATCAGCTGATCGGGCAGGGTTGCCATTGTGATGTTAAAATCATTGAATACCTATGCTACTAACGCCTGGGTTAGTGTATTTTGAATAGTTACCTATACAACAATGATTTTAATGTGAATTACGGCCGTCGGCAACTAGGGTTTTTTCATCGTTAAAAAGCATGACCCTACAGGTGCCTCCCCGGGGGGCGCCTATACATAACGGGAATTTTTTAATCAAAATAATTTATAAATATTATAAAAAATATTTAAAATATTTTTAAACATTTTTTTTTGTTTTTAAGAAAATATCAATTTTTCCCAAAATTTCCGTTTTTTTCCAATTTTTCCAGGAAAAAAACAGGGTTTTTTTCCGACACTCAATTTTTCCGGAAATTTTGAATCTCTAGTCCTGAATGAGTCATAGGTCAAATAAAAATGACGCCAGAAACTGAATGCGCTATCGGAATAAGAACCCTTTCTAGAGTTTAAAAACCTGGTTTTCAAAATTGTAGGTGATCCTTTTTTTTTAATTTTGGAAGTTTTATTTAAGATTTTTTTCGAATTTCTTTAAAACTGAGCCCTTTAGAAAAAAAATTAAAATAAAGAATTAAAGACAGCAAAATTATCTATTAACTGATGCTTCAACATCCGCAACCATTGGCGTAGATATATTTTTTTTAATCACAAAATTTTTAAAAACTTGATTGTTTAGAACATTAATTTCCGAAACCGTATTTCACAAAAAAGTCCAACAGAAAATGGTTTATCTATTAAAAAACTATGTTTTTAAAAAAAGCTGGCCCCTAAATAATTTGAGTACCTAAGTGATGTATGTTCAGTTGAGGTATTCGCTTACGCAATGATACTACTATCAGTTGCTCACATTAAATTGCCAACAAGGAGTTGCCAGGCAATACTTTTGCCTACGTATTTTGGAAAAAGAACAGGCGTTGAGATGACCTAAAACACTGAATTTGGTCTCTAAGAACTACCAAGGTGAAATGCATGTTAAATGCTTCTGAAACATCCTGACACTCTTCTAACAAAAGATTTTTTTGCACTGTTAGTCCTTTGGTCATACGTGTCCCAATTTAAGACTATGGATAAATTAGTTGATAATTATTTTTCCACCAAAACGCCAAATTTCGACTAAATAAAAATTCACAAACAAACATTAGTAGTTATGTTTAAAGCTGCTGATATATCTGAAACTTTAAAAATGCATGTAGGTACTAATTAATCACTTGGAAGAATGTCCACCGCGAGTTTATAAAATATTTAGAATAAATACAAGATAAACAACATGGCACTTCCTAACTTCAAAGAGTCGTTAAAAAGTGCAGTCGTAGAGTTTACATCAAAAAATATTTAATGCCTTTTCTCCTGTTGATAACATTAGGTACCTTAATTAATTAATAATATTTGACAAGTACTGTCTGTCCACTCTAAGTTGGCTGAACTAAGGAATTTTGTTGTTTAGATATTAAAGAATTGTCGTACTGTGTGCTTTTAAAACAGATTTTATATTATAAATAATACTAGTATATAATATGTACTAGTATTATTTATAATATAAAATCTGTTTTAAAAGCACACAATACGACAATTCTTTAATATCTAAACTACAAAATTCCTTAGTTCCGCCAACTTAGAGTGGACAGACAGTACTTACTTGTCTTTTTTGTTATACAGGGTGTCCCTAAACTTATTGGCATAAATTTAGGAAAAGATTGAGTAAGTCAAAATAAGACGAAAACCTAAATAAATATTTTTCCTAATTACTTATGTTTCCAAGATACAGGGTGATAAAGTGTTACCTATCATATCAGTTTTTTTAATATAACTTTTACTATGGTAGTCTTGGAAACGTGATATTTTGCGAATAGTCACTTACTACCAAAACACATATTCACACATAATTACAATTGTTTGAGTGAACACAGTGTCGTAGAAACGGGGGTTGCTTTAAGCTTATTGTCCCATACAAACTTTAAGGTTAGGTTTTTATAACATTTGATACAATTTTTCGATTACACAGTTCGTCTACTATTAAAAAGGTGTACCTCTCAAACTTCGATAAAATAAACCGTTCCCGAGATATTTGAGATTACAATAATTGTTATATCGCATTATTTAAAAGGATTAAAAGGTATATTATAACAAATTTTATTTTTTAATTGAAAAAACTAAAAACGGCATTTCATGAGCCTCGAAACTTTTTGCCCTGGCCGTCACATTAAAAAAAAGTTTGAGAGGTACACCTTTTTAATAGTAGCCGAACTGAGTAATCGAAAAATTGCATCAAACGGTATAAAAACCTAACCTCAAAGTTTGTATGGGACAATAAGCTTAAGCAATCCCTGTTTCTACGACACTGCGTTCACTCTAACAATTGTAATTATGTGTGAATATGTGTTTTGGTAGTGACTGTTCGCAAAATATCACCTTTCCAAGTCTACCATAGTGGAAGTTATATTAAAAAAACTAGTATGATAAGTAACACTTTATCACCCTGTATCTTTTAAACATACCTAATTAGGAAAAATATTTATTTAGATTTTCGTCTTATTTTGACTTGCTTATTCTGCTCCTAAATTTATGCCACTAAGTTTAGGGACACCTTGTATATAGCTTATATTTCTTTAACGATGTGGCTCCCGTCCCGAGGCGGGACTTAAGTTCAGTCCCGATTGACGTCACACACTGTATTTACTGTTTTTATTCCCCGAGATTTTATAATTTGTGTCAAGCTCGATGGCTTAGATGGTAGGGCGGTCGCTTGGCATTCGAGAGGTACCGGGTTCGATCCCACTAGAAGTTGTCAAACTTTTTTTATTTTTTTTATTTTATAAATTTGTTTTTTCTTTGTTAAAAAGTGTTTTATTTTTATCGTAACATAAATTTGCCCATTTTAGTTGGGTTTTTTGCTCAATGGGGCGGGGGGGGGCCAATGGGGCGGGGTCGGTTGGGTTGTGTTGTTGAGTTTGGGTTGGTTTGGTTTTATGACGTAACTAAAGTGCCCTTAACATGTATACAGGTACAATTTATTATTATTATTATTTTATTATAACATATCAAATCTTAAAATTATGACAATCGGGACTGAACTTAAGTCCCGCCTCGGGACGGGAGCCACAGCGTTTCTTTAAACAAAATAGATGCTGCAATGTTGAAAGTAACCTATGAGAGGTTATTCACAAAAAAACGTAACGTACCCAGTTAAACATAAAAAATTCACGACTACGTCCATGGATTTCGTAGGCCAATAGTTTAGGCATAATTATGGAGGCATGATTTAATAGATAATTAAGTCACCTTTATTTCTTTATTCAAAAAATTTTTCTAAAGGCCTCCGTTTTAAAGATAATAGTAAAAACCTAAAATAAATCACCAAATAACGTTTGATATTAGGATTATTAGTCAAAACTTCAAAAAAGGAACAGCTACAATTTTGAAAAACATATTTTCAAACTTCAAAGGATATCCTTATACCAATACTGCAGTTTTTGGCGTCATTTATATGTGACCTATGACTCGTGGGGTATAGTCTTTTAACAAATTTTTTTTACAGTTTCTCTACCAAAATCGATAAAACCCGTATTTTTTCTTTTCGCTTAAATTTGTTTTGTTCAACCGTAGGAAATTTTTGAAAAATGGACAGAAACATCGATTTTTCCCTTTTCATAAATGCGATAACTTGGCCAAAACTGTTTCGATCGTTACATTTTTTTTTTAAATTGTTGTTTCTAAAAAAGGCAAAAAAAGAGGTCAAAATTTGGACCATTGCCAAATTTTTTTTACTTCATATTTTTTGTTTGAAATTGATAATATGAAAAACTTTCACCAAAAGTCTCGAGTTGGCTAAATTCATCGTTTCGGAATTAATATTTTTTATTAAAAATGCCATTTTCTAGTAAATTTGGTCATGAAACTGGGGTGACCTTTATAAAGTGTAATTTAGAACTTTTTGACATATTTTTGTTACTTTGTTACATTTTTACATATTTCGATTAAAAAAAAATTCGGAATACATACATTTGTCAATTTTTGACATGTCAAATAATTTTTTGATTAAATTTTATTTCTATATCTAGAGTGCCTTGAATTGGCTTTTCTGCTTCATGTTGGTCTGTCGTATCTATCGTATCGTAAAGGTCTATCTATCTATAGAAAAAAGATTTGAATTTTGTAGGTCTTTTCGATATAAATATGTACCTTTTACTAATATGGAAACGTGCCCCCTACATTTTTTGTTTACAAAATTATTTTCCAAAATTGACCATTTTTGAGAGAAAAAAAACAAAAACATATGAGTTTTACCTTATTCCACGGGATGGGCTCCCGCAAAGTTGGGGCTAAGCTTTTTTATGAGCCCTAAACGATTTATCAAAAAAAAAGGAAACTAAATTTATTACAGTTCTTGCGCAAAATGATTGGTGCATAGGTAGAGATGCGACTTAAAAAAACGGTCCCTTTTTTTGTTTTTTTTTCATTGTTTTTTTTCAAATGGTTTTTTTTTCCATTTGCCTAATTTTTTATGTTTCCAGTCCAGTTCATGGACCAAAATTAGTCACTAAATGACATTTAGTAAATGTAAATACAGTCTCGCGCTTTGCACGCGCCACCACCACCGAATTGACCAATAAGGGCCGCGCTTGTTTTGATTTGGTCCTAAAAAAGTAACTACCTATAATATTTTTGATTCAGCGCTTGATTTTTCAAAAAGCTACCAAAAGCACTTTTTTTAATGATTTTTCAAATTCATGTTGAGTATGGAATTTTTTTTTTCAACAACAACAAACTCTTTTAAAACCTTTATTCAGTCAGAACATTCCGAGGACAAAAAAATTTCGAATTTTTTTATTACGGTATTCGTTAGGATTGAGCGTTGCACGTTTTTTTTTACGGCTACATTACTACCATTTTTAACAAAGATACAGCTATCCGAAAAATCGCAAAAAATGTGGAATTTTTTTATCCTTTAATTTTTTCTATTAGTGTAGAAGTTTTACATTGCTATTGGTTTCTTATGTTGAAACTACTAAATAATAAGAAATCAGATTTTTTAGTTTAGGTCAAAATTTTCAATAATGAAAAATGTAATATATTCTACATTTCACTTTATTATTAATATAGGTACCTACATTTTACTCCAAATTTCATTTTCAAAAATTACTCCATTGATTGATGTTATTTATTGACAGAATATGCTTTATTGCAGCGGATTTGAAAAAAAACAAAAAAAACCGTTTTTTTTTAGTTTCTTTCATGTTTTTTTTTTCATACCTGAAAAAAAAACCTTTTTTACATCTCTATGCGCTTTATTAATAAAGCGCCAATTGACTTATCAATTACTGTTTCTCAACCAAATTATTGGTTACTAATTTCGCCCTTTGCAGCTGTTCGCGAGGACCGGATGCCGGGCGGAAGGAACAGCGGTGCCGTGTACAATTTGTACAAGGTGAAGTACAAGAAGCACAAGAAGCCTTGCAAAAGTCAGCAGCAGCAGCAGAAGGCCATGGAGAAGAGCATCACGATGGCCAACAACCAGCAGCAATTTAAGCCCGAACAGACCTCCAGTATTCCATCTAACCTAGTCAATGGGACCATATTAAAAACAGCTTTAACCAACCCCAGTGAGGTGAGTGTTTTTTATATTTAATAGTACTACTTAAAGATAATATTTCCGAAAACTTTTGTTGTTTTTTTTAAATTAATAACTCATTAAGGCAAACAATAAATATTATTCTCCAAAAATAATTTGAATTAAACTATCTACTATACAGGGTGCACCATAGAAATAATAGGTACTATAAGTATTGGTATTATAATTTTAAAAGCAAAATATTTATTTGGGGTGCACCAAGTTTCCTTCTATGTTTGTGTATTTTTTTATATGGAGAGCTGCAAGGTCGGTTTAATTAGACAAAAGTTTCGTAATTACAAGTTTATTAAAATGTAATTAAAAATTTTAAATAAAAATCAGATGTTCTCAAAATTAAAAATAGTTATAACTTCGTTATTCCTCGAAATTTTCAAGAAAAGTAAGTTTTTCATGTAAACATTCACATTTATCTAAATTTTAAGATCCTACCACCATCTTTTGTTTTTTCCTACGAAAAAATCAAGGAATCCAACGATTGCCATTATAAAAACAAAAGATGGTGACATAGTAGCGAAGAAATTGGATAAAAATGTAGATTAATGTGTACTCTCTTAAAATGAAATAGTCAAAAATAACTAATTATAAGTTATATTTGACTAATTGTCATAGCGAAAAAGCAGTCACTAATAATTAGTCAAATTCTACTGAATGAAATAGTCAAATTAGTAGATTTAAATTTAAAAAAGTTTTGACCCAGCCGGGGATTGAACTCAGGTCTGTCAAGCTTGTCAAGCTGTTGTCAAAACCCATTTGGATATAAGTCGCTTTTATAAAAATCAATTTTATTTGTTAATAAATATTGTTCATAATATTTTAATGTTGAATGTATTATTTGTGTTGCTGTTTTGAGCAAAACTTTTTGCATCTTTGTTTGTTTTTATGGGCCATTTAACCATGGAGCCTAGGTATATGCATTTAATTCAAATAATACTTTGTTGTTGGCCGCACACAATTACAATTAGTTACTTTTAACTCTGAGAAATAGTCAAAGATGGTGACTAATCTTAAATTAGTCAAACTTTAACTATTTAAAAGTGAAAACGACAATTTAATAGTAAAAAATGCTGGTACTAATTCAAACAGTAGAATTTTCCTTTTAAGAGAGTATGTTAACATGTAAAACTTACTTTTTTTAAATTCTTAGGTACTACAAAGTTTTAAGGATTTTTATTTTTAAAAGGTTTTTAGTTTTTTTTTAATATTTTCACAACCGCTGAGTTTTTTTTTTCAATTTATAAATTTTATGTTTACCCAGGCTTGTAATTACCCAACTTTTCTCTAATTTAACTGACCTTTTAGCTCTTCAATTAAAAAAAATACCAATAGAAAGAGAACATATTGCAATGTTTCATCTACATTAATATGGCTGGCTAATTTGTAATATTTTAAAGGGATTATAAAATAGAACAAACTTTTTTATTTTATTTAGTGCAGTTTTAAATTCACTTACAAAAAACATTAATTAATTTATCAATTAATATTTTTTTATTAAGTATCACTTTTTTAATTTTTGAAAGTTTCAATACAATTCAAAATTACTTTTTCTTGCAAACTACTGTTTTTTTATCAAGTTTATTTAATTTGAAATAAGATAATAAAATTAGAAAACCCTTCGTAAGAACAGATATATATCTGTAGTATCCCAAAAGAGCAATCAATCTCTAAATAAAAATAAATTAGTTATTTATGACTTTTCTTAAAAACTTTCATGTCAATTTTAAAAAGTTGTTCACCTCAGTGGCGGATTGGGGATTTTGGGTATACCAATATCTCAGTTATTAGACATGGGACCCACACCAAATTTATAATAGTTTATTATGACATTAAATAGACAAGTTCGGCGCAAACAGAATTTAAATTGAAGTTTGCGAAAAAAAGTTAGTTTTTTGTGTTGCCTCACCTGGCTTCTGGCCCCCCCATTAGAGATAATTCAAATTAAAGTGGTGCAATTTATACTCCACTATAATTTATCGACAAATTTAAATATTTATTTAAAAAATATAAATATTACAGATTTTATACGATTTTAAATTTTTATTATTTATTTTATTATAATAAAAAAATATTTAATATGGTATAAAATCTGTAATATTTGGATTTTTCAAATAAAATTTTAAATTTACCGATAAATTATAGTGAAGTATAAATTGCACAACTTTAATTTGAATTATCTCAAATGGGGGGGCCAGAAGCCAGGTGAGGCGACACAAAAAACTAACTTTTTTTCGCAAACTTCAATTTAAATTCTGTTTGCGCCGAACTTGTCTATTTAATGTCATAATAAACTATTATAAATTTGGTGTGGGTCCCATGTCTAATAACTGAGATATTGGTATACCCAAAATCCCCAATCCGCCACTGGTTCACCTGTGTGTTGTAGAAGTGTTCTAGAATCACAGTTGTTTTATTAACTTATTAGGTATTTTGCATTTTTATTATAAAACCTTTTAATATTGCCATTTGAAATTAGGTTGAACAAATTCTTATACAGAGTGGTCCAGTTTTTTTATTCAGAATATTTAATTAAACTTTGAAGGGCTACAACTCTCTTATTTTGGAGTTTTGTTAAAAAAGTTACTTAAAATATTTATTTGTCTATCTGATTTCTACAAGCTGTTAAAAGGAAGGCGTCAACTTAAAACTCACCCTGTATAGAAAGGGGGTAGGTGTCAAAAATATGTTTAAATATATCCTGCCTCTGTATTAGTTTACCAAAATTTTATTAAAAAATTTAAACCGTTTTCTAAATATCCCCTTGTAACAATTAAAAAAACACACCAGGTATACACTGCATATTATATGCATTCAGTAAACTGGTGATATAAACTTGACCACCTTGTATAAGTTGTTAACAAGGAACACACAATGCAAAAAATACAAAATATATTTTTTTTATTACAAATTTACAAGTTTTTGTAGTGTAATGGAATAAAGAAAGAGTAAGTTAGTGATTGGTGATGATTTTATTTCAGGTGGTCCGTTTTCGGCAGCGCCTGGACAGTGCAGTTAGTAGTTCTAGGGACCGAAACTTTTCGATAGAATACTCTTTATCAATGATAAAAACTTTAATAGACTGTGATGAATTTCAAGATATAGCAACGTTGCAAAATTTAGACGATTTATTAGACCATAATACGGACTTAAGTGAGAAACTTTGCCATATCGGTGATTCGATTGTGTATAAACTTGTGCAATGGACGAAAAGACTTCCGTTTTATCTTGAGTTACCAGTGGAAGTTCACACCAGACTGTTAACGCATAAGTGGCACGAGCTGCTAGTACTCACGACGTCAGCCTATCAGGCGATACACAAAGCTAACGAACCCATGCCGACCATCAAGACCGACTTCACCCAGGAGGTAAGTTCATTCTACCTATTTCTTTATTTGTCTTTATTTATTACTATATTTTAATATATTTTTTATATAAATACATACCTAGGTACTACCTAGTAGGTAGGTACATATGAAAAAGTAAATTTTAAAATATTTGTTAAGTTTCAAAAATTTTTAATTTTCGAATTTGTTCCACCTTTTTTGTACATTATGAAAATTATTTTTTTTTATAACTTTATCATTTTTTTTATTTTTAAAATTACCAAAATTATTATGTTTATACAGTGTGACCCATTTGTTTGCGACTCACCCCTGTAAAATCTTTATTTATTGTGCGATTTTAACCGGATTTGTTTTAAACTATAGATCTTGATAAACTGTATTTTTGAAGCAAAAAACGCCATATTTTTACAAAATACAAGGCCTACTATGTCAGTTTTTAAGAGTAAATTTTTAAGAATTCATATTAGCTATTTTTTTAAACAAAATCTAAGCACGGCACTAGATTCACCACTCCTCAAAACGACCCTATACGGAATTTTATTAAAAAAATTTTAGAAAAAAATGCACAATAATAACTACAAAAATTTATTTTGTCAAGTTATCCATGAAAAAACATTGAAATAGTAATAGTACCATGTTAAAATTAGTTTAATTTTATTTCAATGTTTTTTCATGGATAACTTGACAAAATAAATTTTTGTCAGGTGCTTCTTTATGGAACAACCCATTTTAATATATAACATTAATTACATAACACCCTGTATATGTATATATATAGTGTGTTCCCGGATGAGGTTGCCAATAGGTAAAACTTTTTTGAGAGTTTTACAAAAAAAGTCTTGAGTCGTAAAAACTCCTGCCTATTTAAAAAATGACATTCCCATAAAAAAAATCCGAATCAAATGTACAGGGTGCTCAGAAATTAGAAAAAACATAAACATTCTTCAAGAGAAAAGTACCTACCTTTATTGTTCAAATTATATTAATTAATTTTTTATTTCAATTAAATCAATGTCTAAATAGAAAAAAAATTGTATTTTAAATTTATAAAAATTAAATAAAGTTAACAAATATTTTTTTTATTTTGTATTAAAACTGTCAAAGACTTTCTCTTATACATTTTTTTTATAAAATAATAAAGGTAATTTTATATTTTCCCAATTTCTGAGCACCCTGTACATTTGATTCAACATTTTTTATGAAAATGGTATTTTTAAAGTACGCAGTAGTTTTATATAGAATGACGTTTTTCCGTAAAACGCATATTAAAAAGTTTTTCCTATTGGCAACCCTAACTGTATATACAATATATATTAGACTGGTCGTAAAAAATTTTTTTTCAACCGCCGGGCGAAAAAAGTTTTGTTTTGGCCTAAATATGTCTCATTTAAAATTTTGTAGTTATAAGATAATATTTAGTGGCCGCGCCCAGGCAGGTAAATATGAAAATACGGAAAATATTAATAAAAATAATATTTTTAAAACAAATTTAATTATGGCGTAGTAAACTTATTTTTTATGTATAAATTAGTATGTAGTTGCATTGCTAATAATTTGACTCAAAATGAAGAACAGAAGCAATTTGTCATCAGTTTGTTGAAGCATATCGCAAAAAGTTTCCTTCCTGTAACAAAACCGCACTTAGTAATTTAATGTAAAATATTCAAGAACCTTTTTTAAATTCTAACCGAATTTGGACATTAATAGCTTTTTGTGAATGTTGTTCTATTAACCATTTAACAGAATATTTATTTCTTTGATTAATTTAAGTTTTGTGCATGCATTCACTCATAAACAATCCAAATAAAAACAATTTTCTGAATATTTTGTATATTTAAATTTCCTCACCTGGGCGCGGCTATTAAATATTATCCGATCGTCACCAAAATTTAAATAGAAAAGTTTTAGGTTACAAAAAAACTTTTTTTGCCCGGCGGTTTAAAATCAGAAAAAAAAAATTGAATTACCAACCAGTCTAATATATATATATGTTTTTTTCCGTTTTTTCCCCAGGCCTTGGAAAAATTGTATTTTTTGGTTAAAATTGATTTTTTTTTGAAAATATACACATTTGAAAAAAGTAGCAATGAACGAACAACTTAACATTATTTTAAACAAAAAAAAATAAAATTAAAGATTAAATTAAATTTAAGAAAATAAACCTAAAAAGGAGTCCATTAAAAATATCTGACTACAAAATAATGAATGATTTATAAAGTTAAATTACAAAATTATAATTTTATAAATCGAAGTGTTAAATAAAAGTTTTTCATATAGCACCGAATAGTTTTTTTTGCGGCCCGGTAGAATATTCTTAATGTATTAAAATAAAAGGTATAATTATTATAATCATAATATTATATGATTATAATCAGCCTCAGAAATTCACTTTTTTCTCGATATCAGTGTACGGATACTATCTGTAAAAATTTGGAAATTTTCATAAAAATTTGGCTTTTGCTTTTTTTTCGTATTACCCTTTGAATAAAATGTAAAAATGAAAAAGTCAATTTTTCTGAAAATTTCCCAATTTTTCCGTTTTTTCCGGAAAAAACGTCTTTTTTTCGCCGGCTCAATTTTTCCGGAAATTTTAAAACCCTATTTATAACGCATGATCTGCAGCATAATATTATCATACAATAATAATGATACAGGGTGACATTTGGTATCCTGATGTTTTTAAAATAAACAATACTGGGTTATTTTTTGACAAAAATTTAAATTTAATACATAAAATTGTTTTCCATTATATGCCATTTGAAATTAATATTATGTGTTGTGTCTTCCATAGCCTACATCACCTAGTGCCTTAAGTGCCTACTTCAGTTCGGGCAATGGGCAGGCAATTTAAAGTACTTTCACAGGAAAAAGTGATCAAATCACGTGAACTTAGAGGCCAAACCTGAGATTTTACTGTTAAATTTACTTAAATCGCGATTTCAGGACCTAATATTTGAGTATGAGTATGAGTATGAGTATGGGAACGTATGGCAAGCCCCAGATATATTGTCATCCACTGATCTCCCGAGGTTATATTACCCCCTTTCCGTTCTCCTGCGTATCCCGCCAAATCACAGCATTACCTGTGTTTGTTGGATCCGAAGTTTTTACGCCGGCTGGTAGATCCACCCTAGGAGTTCGTGGATGACAGTGTCAAAGGTTAAGGCAGCTCCCGGGATTTTTGTCAGCCGGGTCGGGCCATACGTCCAGTTTAGGAAGGGCTTTTGGAGGACATTGAACTGACCCAAAACTAAGTACAATCCGGAATCCTCCTAAACCAGGGCTTTAGTAATAACCCCATTCATTTGGTATTCCTGAATGGGGGTGGGTATGTTAGTTTTTCTGCTTACTCCGGCTACCAACCTTGTATATTCTTTATTTATTTTATTGCTATATTAGTGTTCATACCGTTTTCATTTATTTATATCTTTGCCTTCTTACTTATTTTTTTCAAATTAATTTAAAAATAAAAATATTAATATACAAAATAGATAAAGCCGGCCCTGTGGTGTATCGCATCAATTTGAAACCCGGCCCCTATGTCAGGCGTGCAACGCATGCCTCAATAGATGGCCTACCACTTCATTTTCGCGTGGGGGCTTTGCCCATTTACTTTCTCCATCCTCCAAGCTTTGCTTGCGTGAGCTTATGTGTATATTATATAATATATATAATACAATAATATAATATTGCGACGCACCCACTTGATTTCCCTTCACACACGCACGCTGCCCTCTGCAATGATCAATTGTTGCCTGGTTTCCTGTTAAATTAGTATCTATATAAATTCAATATAAATTTCAATTAGTCAATACCAATACTAATACCAAATAATACAAATAATCAATACCAATATCAACCAATCAATCAATTAATCAATATTAACGTTAATATCAGTATCAACCAATTAATCAATCAATATTAATACTAATATCAATATCTATAATGCCAATATCAACATCAACACTTATACCAACAATATTACCATCAATACCAATACCAATATGATTATATCAATATCAATCAATCAATTAAATTATTAATTAATTAATTAATCACTTTATGTAAATCGATCTTCAAAATAGAGCCGGCCCTGTAGTGCATAGTGGAATGCGTCTTTATGGCCTGCTTGGCTCTTGAATTCCGTGTATTAGCCTGGCTTGATTTATGAGTGTGACCCTAAATTTATTTATGATAAATTTTTGTCTTCTTGCTTGAATTGGTTTATTTGCTTACGCCTTTTACGCTGGTTGTTTACGTTTGTCTGCCATGAGAAAATAGGTTGTTATTTAACAGTTACGGAAATGTTCTTAATATTTTTTAAATTTAATTTTTAAGACGAATAGATTTCTTAGATTCTTTGCAACTTTGTGAAATGCTTATATAAACATTTAACGATTATACGGTAAGACATGCAATTAGAAGAATTATTAGCTTGATTATTAGGCTATAAACCTGATGCTTTGTCCTTCGCGGGGAGTCCCTCTCCTGTAGGTTTTTGCATAGAAAAAGGACGTTTTTGGAACGCTCCGATCCAGGTGCGCCGGTTGACTTATCGTTGCTGCCCAGCCTCAATCAGGCACTTATTCACTTGCACACCTTTACGGCGTTATCTCACAATTTTCGCACTTCTTGTTTATTTATGTATTTATTTATTATTTATTATTCATTAACGATCACCGACATTTCCGGACACTTCGTTTCGCTTTTGGCATTTTACGTTTGTATCGTATACGCCACTTAGGATCTTGACGCATCCGACCTCTTCGAGCATCAAGACGGTACTGTGCAGGACCTAATATTTGACATATGATATTAATTGTAAATGGCATGTAACAAAACAATTGTATGTAGGTATTATATTTAAATTTTTATTAAAAAATAACAGATTATTGTTAATTTCAAAAACGTCCGGTTCCTGGTTGTCACCCTGTATACATACATAAATGTATCTGCAGCCACAATCAATGGATTCATGTATCCGTGGCAGCCACAATGTGGCTATATTAGAAATAAATATG